TCTACTAAAAATACAAAATATTAGCTGGGTGTGGTGGCAGGCACCTGTAATCTCAGCTACTCGGGAGGCTGAGGGAGAAGAATCACTTGAACCCAGGAGGCGGAGACTGCAGTGAGCTGAGATCATGACACTGCACTCAGAGCAATCTGACAGAGTAAGACTGCCTCAAACAAACAAACAATCAAGCTACAAACCCCTTCCCACCCCAGTCTATTAGGTCCTCGGGTGTGGTGCCTAAGTCTGGGGTGCCAGGGACACTAGTTCACAAAACATAACAGCATCAACATTTGTTGAGGGTTGAGTGGGGTGCACTGGCTCGTGTCTGTAATCCCAGCTATGTGGGAGGCTGAGGTGAGAGAAGCATTTGAGTCCAGGGGTTTGAGACCAGCCTGGGCAATATAGCACGACCTCGTCTCTATGAAAAATGAAAAAATTAGCCCGGCACGGTGGCATGAGCCTATGGGCTCAGCTGCTCAGGAGATGGGATCACTCTGAACTCAGGAGTTCAAGGCTGCAGTGAGTTATGCTTGCATTGCTGCACTCCAGCCTGGGAGACAGAGAGACCCTGTTAAAGAAAGAAAGAAGGAAAGAAAAGAGAGAGAGAGAGAGAACAAGAGGGAGGGAAGGAGGAGAGAAATAGAAGGAAAGAGAAAGGTGGGGAGAGGGAGGGAGAAAGAGAAAAAAGAATGAAACAAAAAGAGAAAGAAAGAAAAAAGACAGAGCAAAGCAAAGCAGACAGCAGCACTGGAACCTAGCTGCCGCCAGTTTGATTCTGCGGTGAAGGTGGAGGAGGCAGCCGCATGCACTAAGTGCTGGGGTTTCTGGGGAAACATCGCCCCCTTTTGGTTCTGCGTTAGAGCTGCTCTCCAGTGAAGCGCCCTGAGATTGGAGAGAAAGAAAGAGAAGAGAAGGGAATGTGTGTCTGTAGCAGGGGCTAAGGGTCAAGAGGCCTTCCCTTAGTCCTGGACTTGCTCCTAAGTTTTCAAACTGCTTCTCCATGTGTCACCTCATTCGATTGTCCCAACCACCTTAGAAGGAGGCAGAATTAGGAGATCTGTGGGGCAGATGGGGCCTAGAGACAAAGGGCAAGAAAACACAAACCGAAAAGAAACAGAAAGAGTAAAAAGATGCAGAAAGGGAGGCTGGGCGAGGTGGCTCACACCCGTAATCCCAGCATATTGGGAGGCTGAGGCGGGCGGATCACCTGAGCTCAGGAGTTTGAGACCAGCCTGACCAACATGGTGAAACCTCGTCTCTACTAAAAATACAAAAGTTAGCTGGATGTGGTGGCGCATGCCTGTGATCCCAGCTACTCAGGAGGCTGAGGCAGCAGAATCACTTGAATCCAGGAGGCGGAGGTTGCAGTGAGCCGACAGCCCGCTGTTACACTCCAGGCTGGGCAACAGAGCAAGACTTACTCTCGGCCGGGCGCGGTGGCTCAAGCCTGTAATCCCAGCACTTTGGGAGGCCGAGGTGGGTGGATCACGAGGTCAAGAGAT